TTGCCTTTATTATCATGCATTTATAAATGTGTGTTTATATATGCCTATAAATATTTGTATGTACACATAGGTATGTGTGTGTTTAAGATGACATCTTTTTCAAGATACTGTAACAAAAAAGGGAAAAATTTTGGGGGAAAAATTTTTATTTTGTAGAGCAGTTTTAGATTCACAGCAAAATTGATGGAAAAGTACAGAGATTTCCCATGTATCTCCTGCTCCCACACATGCATAGCCTCCCCCATTATCAACAGAGGGATGTATTTGAATAGAGTGTTTCTTGGTGGTGGTACCATGCAGGTTGGCAGCATGGTTTTCAGAACATTGCTGTTTTACTCACCACCACAAACATTCACAGGGCACTGTGGTAGGTTCTCACATCTTCCCATGCATGTCAAAAGCATACACAACACAAGGGCTTCCTACTTTCATACACATGTTCCTGAAAATACACACCAATGTCAGATATATTAAATTCAAAAACTGATTTGTGTGTTTTTAAAAGTATGTTTTTGTTGATTTTTAGAGAGAGAGGAAGGGAGAGGGGTAGCGAGATAGAAACATCGATGATAGAGAAATACCAGCAATTGGCTACCTCCTGCAAGCCCCCTACAGGGATCGAGCCCAAAACCTGGGCTTGTGCCCTAACCAGGAATTGAACCAGTGATCTCTTGGTCCCTGGGTCAACGCTCAATCATTGAGCCATACCAGCCAGGCTTTAAGGAGAAATTTTTATTTTCAGAGAGCTAAAATACAAAATTCCTATAAAAATATAGCATAAAAAGTGCCTTGTCTCTTAGATTAAGTTATAATTAAAGAATTTACTAGATGTTCTTTAAATTTGGGCTTCTCCATCCCAGCTGAGCAGAGGTGACCATCTAAAGTCTAAAAGGCAGCCTTCTGATTTGGCTCAGTCTATTTACCTCTCTGTGAATATCGAATCGTTTTCCTTATCTGTAAAAACAGAGATAATGATATACCTCCACCATTTATTTCTCACATAGCACTGTGAGGATTTGTTAAATTAAGTCCTATAAAGTGATTAGAATAGTGACTGCTGCAGTTCTCAGAATGAGTTGTCCTCCTGAGTTCCACCACCTTCTGCATACCTAATGACCTCCTTCCTTCTTTGTCTCTATTGTTCTAAATTTATGAGAACTACACTTCCGCTTCCTGGTGTTTGCATTTATATTTTTCCCATATTTCACTAATTTTGATAAAACAACAAGGCTAAATGCAACTTAGTTGGAACATAGTTGAACAAATGCTGGTAGGTTGACAAAGATGGAATGGAACTGTGAGCTGAGCTGGCAGGAAGCATGTCCATGAGGTCAATGAAATGTTTACGTGGCTTTTGGCCTGATGCTGAATCAGAAAGATGGCTCAGGTGCATTAGTGTGTAATGTTCTTATCTGCACAAAGTGAATGGACAAAGGTCAAGGGCACCAGAAGATGGCCCCTCCCTTTTACTATATGCAGTTTCTGAAAATCCCAAAATACAGCCAAATGGGACAAAGTTGTGATACTTTCCCACAGGAGGGTACTTTGATAAGGCATTGGTCACAAAGGAATTCTATATTTGACTAAGCATGTGATGCTAACAAGCACCTATGCCATTTATAAGCTCTTCTAACTTAAGTACAATTTCTCTCCAAATGGATATGAATGTGCATTTAAATAAGGGACATTGGTGGGTTGAAAAGTGCATTATAGCACATAAAAATACCACCACACAGCTAGGTATATACCTAGGTATATAAATTTGCCCTAAAATAGTATCCCAGCTCCAATAACTGTTTTTCCAATTACTATTACTTAAACATTTTAAGAGATTTTTTTTTCTTAATTTCTATTAAGTTTAAAAACTGGGCATGGGTATGAGAGTGGTAGCTGGGGGGAGGCACGATGCTTGGAATCTCTATATATAAAAGCCTAAGCGACTGAACGACCCTTTAACTGTTCGACCATTTGACCGGTAGCTATGATGCACACTGACCACCAAGGGGCAGACCTCAATGCACAGGCATGGAAACATGGAACAGACTGATGAATCTCAGAGGGAAGGGGGAGGAGAGAGGGTGGGAAGAGATTAACCAAATATCTTATATGCATACTAGAGGCCCAGTGCATGTATTCCTGCACTGGGGGGGGGGGGGGGTCCCTCAGCCTGGCCTGCAGGGATCAGGGTGAAACCGGCAGTCTAACATCCTCCAAAGGCTCCCGGATTACGAGAGATCGAAGGCCTGACCGAGGGACCCCACCGGTGCACGAAACTGTGCACCGGGCCTCTAGTAATTTATAAAGAAATAGAATTTTTTTTTCCTTGATAAATTTTCCTATACATTTAAGTTATTTAAAACCATTTCCCTAAGCATCTGGCAGGAAACACACACACACACACACACAAACTATCAGAATAAAAAGTGGTTGAATAGATAAATAAAAGCCCAAAGAAAAGTGATTAGACTTTTTTTTTAAGTGCATTACCATTGGTTTACAATCACTAAAGAAATATGCACTCATTGTTATAAAATAAAGCATACAGATTTAGAGTTTGTAAGATAAAAAGTGGAAGTCTACCTGCAAGATTTTAAACGTGAGGTGACGGTGATTTCCACTGGCAGAAAAGGAGAAGCCAAGAGGAGGCTCCCGCTGCAGTGCGTTCGGTGTTGAAGCTAGCAGGGGTGCCCAGGCATCGCTGCGAGAGGCTGGTTGAACCTCAGGGGAGATGTCAGGTTGACTGATATTGTCTGTGCCTTTGGCAGTTTTCATCTAGTTGTCCTGTTGTTGCTTTTGATGCCACATGACTCCTTCCTAAATTTCTCTCCCTCCTTATCGCTCTGTTGGCAAGGCTGTGGGGAAACAGGTTTCTTCTGTATCTTTGGTGGGAGTATAAATAGGTAAAAGCTCTATGGAAAGGAATTTGACACCTTCTAGCAACATTGCAGCATTGTGCTGTCTCTGGCCCGGCCATTCTGCCGCTGGGAATGTATCCAAAGATGTACATGCACAAGGCGAATTGACATATGTCTACACAGCGCCAGTGGCGTAGCAAAAGATTGGTAACAACCCAAGTGTTTATCATTAGTGGAACTGGTTAAATATATTAGGAGACAACATCAAATTGTTTAATTTTAAATTTTAAAGAGCTTTTAAAACAGAGTGAGGAATTTCTCTCTGAACTGATGTGGGAAGATTTTTGTGATGTATGATAAGTTAAAATTAAAAGTACAGCCCTGGCCAGCTTTACTCAGTTGGTTGGAGCTTCGTTCCGTACACCAAAAGGTTGTGGGTTCAATTCCTGGTTGGGGTGAGTACAGAAGGCAACCAATTAATGTTTGTCTGTCACATCAATGTTTCTCTCTCTCTCCCCTTTTCTCTCCTTTCCTCTCTCTAAAATCAATAAAAACAAAACAAAAAAACAAAAAAACAAAGTACAGATGTTCTGGCAGCACATATACTAAAATTGGACAATACAGAATAGATTAGCATGACACCTGTGAAAGGTTAACATGAAAACTTATGAAGGTTCCATATTAAACAAATAAAAAAGCAAAGTACATACTAGTATATATATCAAACAGTAGCATATATGTGAGGCAATAGTATGTAGATCAAGCTATCTGTATAGAAAAATAGGGCCAGGGGAATAATAGATTAGTGTTTATGTTTACACGAAGACATTTTGGAAAAGACACAAAGAAACTCAAACACAAGTAGTGTTTGTGAGATGTGGGAGCAGGGGCTGGGTATGTTTTATCCAGCTAGATTTCTGAACCATTGTAAACACATTACTCAGAACATTAAAAAATATTGTGCCGGCCTTAAAGATCACGTTAGAGAGGCGCAGAATTAGCATGGACATGAGGGTCTGCCGAAGCAAAGGCCCAGGGGTGTGAGAGCTTATTGAGCTGACCGGAAAGGCCTCTCCCCGGACACTTTCTCAAACTCACCGAGAAAAGAATGAGCTCGGATTCCACTTCTGTGTGTTTGGGACGACAGCAAAGCGAGTTTGGTTCCTTGGTCTTTGCTCAATGTAAAATGTAATTTACCAGGCATCAGATATACTGTTGATATTCTATCCTTAGATATGTCAGATTTCATCCATGGCTCATCTTCGAGAAAAGTCACCAAGTAAATGTGAAGGTTCCTATTCCAGGACAATGGAATCCTAATCCATTTTAGGGCAGTACTTGTCAGAAAATTCATACAACTAAACCTGATTTTTTAAATCATATATATATATTTTAGAGAGGAAGGGAGAGGGGGAGAGAGAGAGAAACATCCATGATGAGAGAGAATCATTGACTGGCTGCCTCTTGCACCCACCCACTGGGGATCAAACCTGCAACCTGGGCATGTGCCCTAGACTGGAATTGAACCCAGGACCCTTCAGTCCATAGGCCAATGCTCTATCTACTGAGCCAAACCAACTAGGGCTGATTTTTACCTTTTTAACCTTAGTCAGAAATAGGTCTATTGTGACTAAGGACTCAGGTTTGTGAAATAGTTTATTTAAGTATTGAAGTCATCATAGTATGTGCCTTAGTTATAGTTCTTCTCTCTACGTCTCTAGATTTATATCTTGCAATCCTTTCCACTGAACATGAGAAGAGCAGCTGAATATTGGATGATTCCTGATGACAGGATAAAGAAAAGCCAATTTGGTTTTTACCAAATTCCATGAAATTGCTCAATAATCCTAAAATGACTCATTTTAGCACTTAAAAAAAAAATCACATTAATCCTATTATCTTGAAAAGTATGCTTCAGGGAAGTGGATCCAATTATGTTAAAATCAATTTCTCTCTTTCTCTCTGACACTCACACACACACACACACACACACACACACACACACACACACCACACACACACACACACTCACCCCTCATCTATGCAAAGAACAAAAAAAGCCTTGAGGGAAATATAATAGATGTTTACTATGATAGGGCAATGAATGATTTTTCTTTTCCTTTCCTTTTCCCTTTATTTCCCAAGTTCTACTTAATGAGCACGAACTACTTTGATAGCAAAAACAGAAAAGCAAAACAACCAAAGCCGAGGTTGGTGAACCAAGGCCAAGCATGCAGCTCATCTCTCAGTTCATCTTCCAGGAAGCCTGCGCGAGCTGCTGCCGCACCGTCTTGGGCTCAGACATGTGGTCATCTGTTTTGAAGCCTTCACGCAGTCAGCTCTGGGAAAGAGATGCGGATGCCCCACAGCCCTCTTACTTTAGTTAACCCAGATGCACCCGGGCCCTTTGCAGCTCTGCTGTCACTCCAAGGTCCTCTTCCGGCCAGACTCAGCACTTGGTCCCATCTCTCAGACTCTCTCCTCCAAAACAAATGAACAGATCCAAATCTATAAGCCGTCTCAAATAATGTCGACTTTTCTTTGAGAAAGTTAGGCAAGTTCTGCCCCGCCTGTGTGGCTCGGTGGTTTGAGCGTCGACCTGTGAACCACGAGATTACAACTTGATTCCCGTTCAAGGCACATGCACAGGTTGTGGGTTCAATCCCTAGTGGGGGCATGCAGTGATTCTCATCATTGATGTTTCTATCTCTTTCCCTCTCCCTTCCTCTCTGAAATCAATTATATATATATAAAGTTAGGCAAGTTCCTCATAAGACATAGTGAAACTTCTCCCAGCATACCTGTATATGCTTTGCTTTTTTCAAAATCCCTCTCCTAGCAGCTGCTTCATCCCCTTTTTGCCCAAATTGCCTCCTGGGAACGCTTGTGCCTGACACTGTTCCCTTCTTCCTCAGCTGGCTCACGCCACCCAGTGAAAAGAAGCTGTTTGTCAACCAAATGTGAGCCACCCCATCTTTTTGAGGCATGAGCCAAGGCCTATAGTTCAGTTGAATTAAGTTTAATGGCTCCTGGAAGCTAGATAAAACTTACATTCCGTTTAATACCCAAAGCAATACCGATGGGAAAACTAGTACAGGGTTTGTGCAGAACATGGCCATAAGGATGAATTCTTTACTCGGTGCCCGGGAACCACTCTCAGCCAAAGTAGGGCAGTTTGGAGAGTGGCATGAATGCGAGGTTGTTCAGCCTGTGGGCTCACCTGGACCTCTGAGCTAGGAAGCTTGAAGCCTTCTCCCCCAGGAGGTGGCAGGCTTGGGTGTGGAGTGTCACTGGCCCCAAGACAAGAGCACAACTGGAGACCCACGCACTGTGTGTCTCTATATTATGAAGTTCTACATCAGGCTAACAAGTAATTAAATAAAATATGTTCTGACCTCCTACCTTGACAAAAATACCTTCAGGACAACCTGCAAGTCCAGGTTTAAATGGGGGATTCTTGGATTCCTTGGAGTTTCTTGCCCCTTTCAGCAGGGATCCCCTGCATATCCATATGGAACCCTCAGCTCACACATCCAAGTCCTTCCCTGCCCCCCAACACCTACTCTTGGTTGACTTGTTAAGCCTGGGGTGCAACATACTAACACCGGAGTCACCTGAGTCACCCTTGGAAGGCATGGCCTGGACAAGGCCTGCTCTGTCCGGGGAGCAAGTGTGGGGATGTCTGGGCAGAGAATTCTGGGGTCCCATGCATTGTCCAAAAAAAGGGATGCCAGCTTGTTTGCTTCTAACTCATAATCTCTGCAGGTCCTCCCCCAGATGCTTTAGTCAAGATCACTGTGTATTAACTGCCAGCACGGCGGGGAGGCAGGGGGAAGGGCGGAGTTCATGACTTCTAAAGGTTGTCATGCCACCTCAGTCTCCCCGCTGAACAGGGTGATGGGGGCGCTCAGTGGTCCACGGTCCACCTCTCACCCCTCGGTGCCCTGAGGCCAGATTTGGACATGAAGCACAGGGTCCCTCTGCTCCTCGCAGCTTCCTGCACTATCGGGGTGAGGACCAAAGGGGAGATCTTTAAAGGCAGAGCATGTGAGCAGAAAACTTTAGTTTCTCTGATTAGATAACCTTTCCTGGTACCTAGGCTGGGGGCAGAGCGGGAGCATGAGGAGGGTCATTGAAGATGGCTGAGGACTGGAAAAGGGCCACCGTGCATTCCACCTCCGCACCTGTAGCTCAGGTGCAGTCAGTTAGGTTGGGAGGCTGGGAGACGACCTGTATCACCCCAAAACCTTCTGACCCTCGTCAGATGGCGTGAGCCCAACCCAAAAGCAGGCAGGGCAGTTCTGCAGCCATAGTTCAGAACCGCAAGGAATGTGGGTGGGGCCCAGAAGCTGGGCAGATGCCCTGGGGTCCATGTGCTCCTGCATCTCTTCTCTCCCCTGACTCAGGCTGGGGGAAGCCGGTGCCAAGCCTCTCACCCCCCCCCTCCCCTCCCCCCCCCCCCCCCGCCCATCTCAGCTCCCAGGGTCGGAACGTCTCTGCCTTGAAGGCTGCTAGTTCCAGGTGATGTCGGCCAGGAATGGCGTAAGGACCGGGCATGAACATTCCAGAATGGGGTTCATATTGTACACACGTAGGGCCTTACCTCAGGCCTGCCTCGCAGGAGATGATGATTTAGGGTAGGGCAGTTGGTGAGAAGCCACGGAGAATCCATACATCTGAGCTTTCTGTGAAGTGTATTCCTTTCATCCCCATCCAAAAAGAAAAAAAATGCACTTAGAAGGAAGCTCACGGTCTTGGTTTTGAGCTAAATGTTATTAACTTGATACTTGCTCTGCTTCTCACCTTTCCACTTCAGAAGTTAAAGTCGCTGGGATATGCCCCTGGAGTTTGGGAAGAGAAATGCTAACTCCTGAATAGTTTGAGTTGAACAAAGTGGAGCCCAGGAGCCAGGCTTGCAATGGGTTGTCATAATATCCTTAGGAAGCCAGGGTTCCCTATCACTTACCCTGTGGAACCCCTGCCGGGTTTCTATTGGTGAGAGACAGGACATTGTAGGGCTAGGGAAGGGCAGAGGGAGGGCATGGGCAGCATTCCATTGACAGTGACAGGAACTGATGATGAAGAGAGGCCTTGAAGAAGTTATCCTAGGGCCTTTATGCCGGAGTCTAACCTTCAAGATCTCCATTGCTTCTGTGTGTGTCCAACATGACTCATGGGAGGAGATCCCCTGGATGACCGGCCACCCTGAGGCGTCAAAGGCAAGCGCTGAAGGACCTTCCTGAGACGGCCTCGAACCTGAGTTCTGTGACGTCACAGAAAGCCACAAAACACAAGTCGACCCCTAACTTGGATTTTACAAGAAGATAAGTTGGCATCATGAAGGATTGCCAGATAAATTACAGGACACTTTTGTTTTTATTTGCTAAATCTTCCTATAGATGCTTCTCATTGGGCAGACTTTTGTCTTCCTTCATAGTCATGTATACCTGTGTTCAGAATACCTGCTGTGACTACGCATCGAAAACAGAAAGCTCTTAAAACCAACAGGCAATAACACTCCCTCAATGAGCACCTACTATTCGCTAAGCATGATGTTAGGTGTTTATATGTATCATTTTGTTTCATCTTCACTACATCCTTAAAGACAGCTACTTTTTTTTATCTTAAATGTAAAGAGGCATCTGAAACTTAGAGATATTAAAAAACTTGTTCCAGGTCACATGCATGGTAAGTGGAAGAGCCAAGAGGATGGTGGTGGTGGTAATGATGAAGACAGCTAGCATTTATCAAGAATAGATCATGTGTTGCCTTGGCCAGTGTTGCTCCGTTGGTTGGGTGTTGTCCTGGACACCAAAATGTTGCCAGTTCAATTCCTGGTCAGGGCACAGGCCTGGGTTTCAGGCTCAATTCCCAGTAGGGGGCGTGTAGGAGGCAGCCAATCAATGTTTTGCTCTCACATAGATGTTTCTCCCTCTCCCTTCCTCTCTCTCAAAAAATAAAAAAATAAAAAAATTTTTTTTAAAGAATATGTTATGTGCCAGCCCATGTGCAGTGTGCTATACTTATTAACTCATTAGATTATTATCACAGCCGTATTTTCCGATTGGTGCTCTTGGTAACTCCATTTTAAAGAGAAGGAAACTGGGGAAAACCAAGATGGCGGCATATGTAAACACTGGAGTTTGCTGCCTCGAACAACCACTTCAAAAATACAACTAAAAGACGGAACGGACATCATCCAGAACCACAGGAAGGCTGGCTGAGTGGAAGTTCTACAACTAGGAGGAAAGGGAAAAACATACCGAGACTCAGAGGAGGTGCAGTGCTGAAGTAAAATACTAAGGTGCGGAGTGCATGCGGAGCGGGCTGGCGGCTGAGGGCATGGTTGTTGTTTTCAATCGGGAGGGAGTTTCAGACTCTAAGCTCCAGATCCGGGCGAGTCTCTAGGGACCCAGACTCATACGGGAGAAGCAGGACTGTCTGGCATCGCCCAAAACCCTAGGGCAGCTTTCTCTCCGTGGGGCTTGCAGCGATTACTGGGACACTGAGAAGCAGAGCCTCTGAGGGCAAGACTGAGAGCAGCCATAATTGCTAACCCTGCCCTGTTGATCCCGTGGGACCCACCCCGCCAAAGCCCTGCAGGGAGACTTTTGCTGGATAGCCTCAGGCAAAGGCTAGGTTAGCACCTCCCTAGAGATCCAGGAGCCAGGAAGCCCAGAGGTCAGAGTGGGACCATCCAGTTTGCAGCTCCGTGGAACCATAAAAGATACACTCAGGGGGCAGACTCAGTGAGCACCAAAGCCCCATCGACGCAAGTCTAGCCCCAGAGGGGTGTCTCCAGCACAGAAGTTCTCCCACTGCAGACACAGCTGATTCTCACAGCCAATTGGCCTGGAGGTCAATCCCTCACAGTGATAACTACAACAATCAAGGCTTAATTACAACAAGACTGTGCACAAAGACCACAAGGGGGTGCACCAAGAGTGTCTACCTCAGGTAATTGGGACACTTAGCACAGAAAGGCACTCTATCGACACAGCGAAGCATAAAAAATGCTGAGACAAAGAAACAGGACACAAACGACAGAATTGGAGGAAAGCAAACTGCTGGATATGGATATAGAGTTCAAAACCACACTTTTAAGGTCTTTAAAGAACTGTCTAGAAGCCGCCGATAAATTTAATAAGGCACTCGAAAAGACTGGTGAGACCGCCGATAAATGTAGTGAGATCTTCAAGAAGACTGGTGAGACCGCCGATAAATGTAGTGAGATCCTCAAGAAATCTAATGATGTTGTGATAAAGGACCAATTAGAAATTAAGCATACACTGACTGAAATAAAGAATATTATACAGACTCCCAACAGCAGACCAGAGGATCGCAAGAATCAAGTCAAAGATTTGAAATACGAAGAAGCAAAAAACACCCAACTGGAAAAACAAAATGAAAAAAGAATCCAAAAATACGAAGATAGTGTAAGGAGCCTCTGGGACAGCTTCAAGCGTACCAACATCAGAATTATAGAGGTGCCAGAAGAAGAGAGAGAGCAAGATATTGAAAACCTCTTTGAAGACATAATGACAGAAACTTCCCCTACCTGGTGAAAGAAATAGACTTACAAGTGCAGGAAGCGCAGAGAACCCCAAACAAAAGGAATCCAAAGAGGACCACACCAAGACACATTATAATTAAAATGCCAAGAGCAAAAGACAAAGAGAGAATCCTAAAAGCAGCAAGAGAAAGAAAATCAGTTACCTACAAGCGAGTACCCATACGGCTGTCAGCTGATTTCTCAACAGAAACTTTGCAGGCCAGAAGGGAGTGGCAAGAAATATTCAAAGTGATGAATACCAAGAACCTACAACCAAGATTATTTTATCCAGCAAAGCTATCGTTCAGAAGTGAAGGCCAGATAAAGAGCTTCACAGATAAGAAAAAGCTAAAGGAGTTCATCACCACCAAACCAGTATTATATGAAATGCTGAAAGGTATCCTTTAAGAAGAGGAAGAAGAAAAAGGTAAAGATACAAATTATGAACAACAAATACACATCTATCAACAAGTGAATTTAAAAATCAAGTGAATAAATAATCTGATGAACAGTATGAACTGGTGATTATAATAGAATCAGGGACATAGAAAGGGAATGGACTGACTATTCTTGGGGGGGGGGGAGGTGTTTGGGGTGAGAGAAGAGATTGGACAATAATCATGCACCTATGGATGAGGACAGTGGGTGGGGAGTGAGGGCGGAGGGTGGGGTGGGAACTGGGTGGAGGTGAGTTATGGGGGGGAAAAAGAGGAACAAATGTAATAATCTGAACAATAAAGATTTAATTTAAAAAAAAAATAAAGAGAAGGAAACTCATTCATTCTTGGTTTGCTGACTCGAAGCACTGACTCCACTGTTAGCCAGTGCTGCTGTAGTTCTTGCCTCTCCTCCTACTGGGTCCTGACATCCCACTTCCACTCCTCCTATGGTGGGTTGCTGAACACATGTGTAGAACCAGCCACATCATAAAATGTTAACCTTGGATCTGACCTATTGGTTCTTGGAAGTTGATGCAGGGCAAACTTTTAGCTGACAAATGCTGGTCAACCAGAGTCCCTGCCTTAAATCTGGCAAGTTTTATGTTTCCAGGCCTTGAAAAGTAACACTTCTTACTCCCAGGAGCGGACACATAGCCAGAAAAACAGCCTCAGCAAAAACTTTCTCAATCTTGCCTCCAGGAAGCACTTGGTTTTTGCTGACCTCAATCTTAGAGAAACTTCCAGCCAGTCAAATAGACACGTCTGGCCTCACACCAATATGACAAGTCTGGCTTCTGTCCAATAGAAGCTGGTGCTGATGCCACAGATACTATTTAGAGCTGGGGTGGGGGACGTCCGGCCCTCATTTGGTTATTATCATTTGGTTATTATAAAGCCCAAGAAATGATTTGGTTTGGCCCTGCCAAGGCGTTAGGGGTGAGTTAATTAAATGTTTTTCCAAAACAGGCTAATATTTAAGTTGATAATTTTGTATCGCCCTCGAATGATGTTATAAATATCCCAATGGCCCTTGGCAATAAAAAGGTTCCCCACCTCTGGTTTAGAGGCTGTGCTTGCCCCATTGCCTCAGATGCAAGACCAAGGATGAAAAGAAAAATGGAGGAATGAGCACAAAACTTCCACCCTCCTACGCTCTCTTTAGAATGTGCAATATCATTTCCCACCAAAAAAGGGAATAAAATCTCAAACATCCCCTTTTGACTTCTTCTCCTAGAAGGACATTTCTCTCGCCTCATTCTTGTAGATGTGCCGGGGTCCAACCCCAGCAGGTCCAGGGGTCCCCAAAGGTGTGGATGGAGTCGGCGAAGAAGGAAGGACACGGAGACAGTGTTCAGTTGATCAGCAGCCTAGCCAGGATCTCCAGCCAAGTTCTGGTCTGGATCTCCAGCGAAGT